TAAATAAATTATTAAGTAACCTACTACTAATAGTAAAAGCTTTAAATTAACTAGTAATATTATTTACTTTAGCTTAATAAAGTATAAGAGAGTTATATATAGTATATTTACCTCTAAGGTCTATAAGATAGTTACTAGTACTAATATTACCTATATAATTAGTACTACTCTTATAATAATTACTAACTACCTTAAGCTACTATAAATACCTATAATACTTTATACTAACTTATACTTACTTTATAAGTACCTTATAAAGCTTAGTACTATAAAAGAAAAGTAACTTATAATAAATATTATAGCTCTTTACTAGTTATATAAACACTATAAGATTTTTAAAATATAATAGATTTATAGTAGTAATAACCTAGTAAATAGATTTATAAAGTTATTACTAAATAATATATTAAAGAAGCTAGTTAATAATAAGTAATTAGAGATATAGATAAATAAATAGGTTTTTTATATATAATAGACTATATAAGTAAAAAGTATTAAATACTTTTTAGCTTCTTGTTTTTATTATATTTTTTAGCTATTCTTTTAGATATAAATAATAAGGGATTTTTAGTACTATAGAAAGTTACTAGTGTTATAATATTAACTATTATAGATAAATATTAAAGTTATTAGGTTAACCTTAATAACTTATTACTAGTAAATCCTTAGATATTTAGCTATAGATTCTCTAAGGATTTATAGGTAATAAGTTAGTTATTTAACTAACTAACCTATAATAATTATCCTTCTTTTCTTTATATATAATAAAGAACTATAGTTACCTTTATTATTTATTAATTACTACTAATATATATAGTTAACTATATTAACCTATCCCTTAGTGTTACTAATAGTTATATTTTAGTAGCTACTTAAGAATAATTATATATAGCTAGCTACTAAGGTAGTTAATTTAGTACCTAGATTTATTAGTGTTCTATATTTTAAATAAGCTAATATTATACTTATAAAGGGCAACCTAGTACTAGGTAAAGAAGTCCTCTATTAGGCCTAAGTTTAACTTAGCCTTCTTCTAGTATAACTTAACTAGTTTAATAGTACCTTTTTTCTAAAGCTTTAGATAGTTAATAAGCTAGCTTTAAATAAAGTGTTTAAAGACTAGTAGTTAACTTTAGATACTATAGAGGTAGTTAGCTATTTCTTTAACCTAGAGTAGTAGGGCTAAAAAGCTAGATTTATAAAGCTATATAATAAAGGCACTAAAAGCTATATCTTTAGCCTTTATAAGTAACTAAGGCTAGCTAGGCTTATCTAGGCTAATATAGAGGTTATAGCCTTCCTAAAGGGCCTAGAGGTACTTCTAAATTACTATATAAGATATACTATAATCCTAGGTAGCCTAGTATATAAAGGGTATATTAGTTACTAGCTTATTTACTTATTAATAGGTTACCTATTAATAGGTAATATATAGTATCTTAGCTACCTTTTTAGTAGTAGTTATATTCTTATTATATTAGTAAAGTATATTAAAGAGTTAAAGTAAAGTAAGTAGTTTAGTTACTATTAATATTTATTAATAATATATCTAAATAATTACTTGTTTTTAGTGAGAATATAATAAAAAGTAGGACTAGGTTGGGACAAGTGGTAACCCTATTTTCCTAGTGGTAACCCTATTTTCCTAGTGGTAACCCTATTTTTTTGCCCCCTCCGTGAGGAGGGGGTATTTAGCTCACAGCGCTGACTAAGTTGCCCCTGGGTAGGAGCTATGGCTTTGTATCGTGCTTTCAGCGCTTCTGCCAGCGGCGACCTTCACTTCGGCTTACCAATTCCCTAACAGACAGCACCTCTATTACAACGCTTTAACAGCTTTTAGTTACTGTTCGATTAATGTGCTTATTGCGTCGTCAGCAGTCAAGATGAATTTTGTAGATGTTGAGAGGTAACGGACGTTAATTAACGCCTTTAGACAAAATAGGCACAGTTGTAAGTAAACCGGCGTTCTCGTTACTTCGTTGTGGTAAATACCAGTGACGCTCTGATTGCGGAAACTAGCCAAAACTCGGCGCCGTAGCTCGGTGCGCGCACTAATAGATTAGACAAATTAGCGAGCAAACTTGCTTGCAGGTGGAAACTGCTCAGCAGATCCCCCAGTGCTCACCAAGCGAAACGTCCTGGAATTGGCGAGCGCACGATGCTGGCACGCATTGGCTGCAAGCAAAAGAAGTTAAAGGTCTGCGAATTGTGCCCTCTCTGCTAGCTACTAATCGAACTTGGCTGAGCCATTATAGTGTGACGGATAGACTCCGAAGTGCCAGAACTGCATCAGGACCAGACGAGGTAGGTGATAGAAGGCTCCCTGCAGTTTATAAATCTGGGTAAACTGAGGTACCGGTCAGACTGCCTTGTGGAATATCCGGGAACCGGCCTCCATCGCCCCCGGGACTACATAAAATCTCTAGAAGCCCGGGTGGCTTATCTCGAAGGTCTCTTGCAACAGGTACGGCCCGAGGTTGCCATCGATCACTTGGGCCCCAACCAGACCGCAATTCGGATATTAATATGGTTCCTTACCACACCGACCCTACCCAACCGATCTCTACGATACCGATTCTTCCTGACCTTTCTGACAATTCCTCTTTTGACAAAATCGACTTCTCCCGCTCCCTTCCTACACCATGCGTTGCTACTGAGGAGAATCATGTCGATGTAGTTTCGTCAGAAGTCGCCCTCCTGTGGCTCAGTGCTGCAGGCAGGTAGCCGCATTACTTCAGGTCATCTTCTGCTGTATCATTTTCCCGTATTGTGAGTGTTGCCATGGGATTGACTAAAAGAGAAGGGAGTTCTCAGCATGGCCATGCTGGCCGCGGCCAGAGGTTTGGTATAGAAGTGCCTCCACAAGCTTCTTTGCGATTACCATCGTCAGTCTCGCGAGCGAGCCTGTCAGGGGCATATTTCAACAACATAAATCCCCAATACCGGTTCCTACATGAGCCTACGTTCCGTACGTGGAAGGAGAATTGTCTCAAGACTAGCCTCGAAAGACATGTAAGCAGTGACAATTGAGTATCCTGGCTTTTCTTTCTTTCACTCATGGTCGGTCTATGTGGTCTGTTCCTTGTACGCTTTGTGTTTCAGGTTGCTGATGTTAAATAGGTTTACGCGATAAGGTCTTTAGTACTTAGTCAGAGCCATTACAACGCTGCTGAGATATATTACTCCATAGCCTCAGATCAAATATTAGCGGTACTAAACCTTGACAACCTCGTATCAATACAAGCTATCTTGCCCTGCGCCGTGTGCTCGACCAGGTCGCCTGTAGGTGTGAGTCTCCGGTAAGCCTTGCATGAGATACGCTTTCTGTACCCAATTTTTCAGCTGCCCTCTTTTCAAGGAAAGTCTCAGGGATGGCCATCCGCCATTGTTTGGAGCTTGAATACCACCGAAGTGCAGAGAGGTATCATAAGAACACAGATGCTCTGACAAAAGAAATGTCGAAGAGGTGTTTCTGGGTGGCGTAGGACATTGGCAGAGTGGTAGCCTTCATACTTGGACTCTCACTTGGGATATCTGGTGACTTGATCGACATTGAGGTTAGATTCTGGTTTGGCTAGATTTCTACATAATGCTCATATGTCTTACAGATGCCCCTTGATATTGATGAAGAAAACTAACATCGAGCGGTATAATATCTCCTCCACGTGCATCTCTTGCTGACCCACCGACCCTGATGGCAGGGTTCATCCACGCGACTTAATTGCGTTGTTTGTGGTTAAGTATGAGTGATAACCTGTACCCTCCTATAGCTCGGCAACGTAATTGCGGTCACAGGGCCACGGTTGAAGCCATCCATCAGGAGTTGGAAGAATGGCGCACGAACACGCCGGATCAGTTGGACCACTCACGATCACACCCACTTCCGGTTTGCACCTCTCGTGCCTGGTTTCAGCTTGCCTATGATCATTCGGTTCTGTTGCTATATCGTCACTTCATGGTGGGGTCCCCTAAGACCCATACAACACCAGATGGTACTGCAAATACGATGACAGCTGATGCTCAATTTACGGAGCGAGCGCTTGAAGAGTGCGCCATTCGAGCACAAGACATGTGTGTTCTCTATCGTCGAGTATGCCAAAGCTCTTCAGTCTAGTTCACTTGAGGTAGCCTACACACACTGTTTCTTAACGGTCCAACGTACCTTTACTGCTTGAAATCTAAGTGTTGTACGAGAAACTACCAGACGAACCGATGTAGTTACCACATGTATGGTATGCTTAACCGTTCTTATCATCATCGCTGAGCGATGGAAGTCGGCAACATCATATCGAGACATATTCGAAACATTGTCTCAGCGAACCATTGGCATGGTCTGCAATGAAGTGTACAAATCTGACTCAACCGCAGAATAAGCTGTAGAGACATGTCCTAACGTGAATACACAACCTCCGATGGGCGAAAATATCCCCGCATCAATGCAGGACTGGATCATGCAATTGGACGACTTGACGATCCCTCAAGAGTCTGAGTGGCTTGTGCAGAAGTTATTGCAAGGAGTGAGAGAAAGTTGAAGACTATATAGTGATTCAGTATGAAACCCGGGACGCAAAATTTGCCGTAAAACTCAGGTCAATGTGCCAAAATATTTCACTCCAGGATGGCAACACCCCTAGAACTGGCAATGAAATCAACTGTAACTTCATCCTCAAAACTGATTAGTCGCTGTAGCTACTTGTAGCAGTCGGAAGACTCGCGGGGTATGCCATCACGCAGCATGGGTGAAACTCTATACATAATACAATTCCATATGGCTTTCGGAAGTTAGACTCAATATGAAACGAAAGCAGCTATATAATCAGTAGTACTATAAAGGATGAGGGTTGAGAAGTCTAAGAAGGAAAGGGCGAAATACTATTTAAATGTTACAGAGTTAAGTTGTGATGAAAGTTATTGTTCTAGTTCTAAACTTCTATCAGAGTCCATGTAGCAACACCGACACAGCTTGATGAGCCAGCTTTGTACCAAGATTCACAAAAAGTATTATCACATGTCCAAGCCCAGACCCAATTCCTTAGCACACCGGTTCAGACTCTTTCTCTGAATTTGTTCATAAAGCTCATTTGAATCAAGTATCTCCGTCTGAAGAGCATTCTCGTGGGCTTTCATGTCTGACTTTACCGACATCTTAGTGGTGACAGTTGGCTCCCCTGCGCTGTTCTTCTGCAAGTTAGACTGGAATATGCCTGCCGCCGAGAACGGCAGAAAGTCCTCGTATGTGATGGGTGAGGCCTTCAAAATGCCTTCAGAGACCAGCCGGTCCAGGAAGGCAGACGATTCCATACTGGTCAGACCTGACAGATTCTTCATCTTGTCCATGGTGTCATGGGTACACTTGTACTCAGAGTATACAAGGCCCCCACGTCGTAGCTCCTCCCAGTCATCGGGATATTTCTGGAAGGCTTGCTCCACAAGCTGGTCCACAGCGACAGGATCGTTACTTTTCCCGGTTTTCTGTGCTGTCTCCATTGCCTCGTTCAACAATTCATTATAAAGTTGCCGACCAGCGGGGGTTACTGCGGCACCCCTTTCCTCAATCTCGCCGAATCTAGCCTTGTGGAAGCTGTCCACAAAGTCTTGCTCTTGAGTTCCAGCGAACCGGATCCTTTCTTCAAGAGCAAGAAAGCTTGTTTGTCGAAGGAGGATGGGACATCTCCTTACTGGCGGACCCTCGATACGGCTTTTGACTGCCATACCAGCGGCAGCCATGGCTTGTTGGGCAGCGTTGATGTCTAAGGCCCGCGGTGTCAGATGGTTGATATGAGAAGAGCTGAAGCAAGCAATATCAGCAAGAATGGGGTGCTCGCTGCATAGCAAGTTATACTGCTCATAGGTTGCTGCAGCCATAGACCTCCAGCTGAACGTCTTGAGAGCTTCAGAAACAAATTGCTCTCCTTGCTCGGAGGTCAGATAACCGTCCGGGGAGTTTTCAGCCGCTACAAGAAGTTCGATGAGAGCATCACTAAAAATATTGCGTTTATCGAGGAGTTCCAGAGAGACGTCGTGAGCCGTCCCCGATGTAAGTAGGTCTGGGCGAAGAAGAGTGGTGAAAACTCGAAAGGGATTACGTTGAAGGGACTCGGTCGATATCGGTCGGAAGCAGGTTGCATGCATAGGTAATCCGGCAACCGAAAGGTCATAATATCCAACAGGATGCATCCCGAGGACGGCGAATATTCGCCTGACTGTGTGAAGCTCTTTGGGGGTGCCGAGGCGAATTGCGCCGTGCCGTTCAAGAGTAAGACGCTCGGTACTTGCTTCCATAAAAACCGAACCATCGAGGCCGTTCAGTCTCTTGGCTTGCGCTTCGCGATTGACTCGCTGAACGATCTGAATCAAATCACCATACAACGGCACCTCCTATTTGTACATTGCAGACATGGCGAGGGCGAAGGCGGTTCTGAGTGTGTCTGCATCAACATATGTGCTACCTGGCCCTGGCTGCCCTAGGGGGGGTGGTTGAGAGGCGGAGACAACACCGCTCGACGTGACTGCGGAGATTTAGCTTTGTGAGCTTTCAAAGATACGTGTGAGATTGCGCTTAAGGGAAGTTGATGTCAAGGAGACCGTGTTGTTGGCTTGTAATATTTGCTGTTGTGATCCACTGTATCAAGGATAAAGTGTGCCTGTCGCTAAGTCCTTAGACTTACAGACACTGCATGCAAGCAAAGAAATGCAGGAGAACATAGCTGTTATATATAGAGTAGTCTCCTCGCCTTTGGCGAGTAATTTGAGCTGTTACTTCATAGGTAGTATTAGTCGACGCTGGCTAGCGTACAGTCTGTTGCATTAGCAGCGTCCAAAACCTACTTTTTAGTCTATGCGTTAGTAACACTATCACAATAACCACCCTAGTTAGGGTTACGCAAAGGGGTTACTTTACTAAGTAGCTATATACTTTTAAATTATTTTATATTATATAAATACTATAGTATAAATAGCTTTAATTAATAAGCTTATTACTATTACTATTTAATAATAGTACTAAAAAAAAAAGAATATTACCTTTAGTAGTATAAAGGTATTACTAGTACTACTAGCTAATAGTACTTAAGCCTATAAAGCTACTTATAAAAAATTATTATTATATATAGTTATTAAGTACCTTATAGTAGTAGTAATAAGGTTAATAATAGTTATTAAGACACTATAAAAGCTAATAGTTATTATAGTAGTAGTAAAAAAATTAATAATAACCTTTAAGATACTAAAGAAGTTAATAAAAGTAATTATTAATAAAAAAAAGGTTAATAATAATAATAATAATAATAATAATAATAATAATAATAAGCTTATTAATAATAATAAAGAGCTTATATAATAAGTACTTTTTATTTTTAATTTCTTTAAAATATTATTATAAACTTTATTACTATTATAGTAGTAATAAAAAGTAACTACTATTATAGTTAACTTTTTACTATTACTACTACTAACTAAGGTAATAATCTATTTTACTTTTAGCCTTTAGTTTAATAGTATTATAGTACTATAAGTCTAGCCTTTTTAAATAGTATAGTAGTTAATAAGTTAAGTATTAGTAAATATAATAATTAAGTTAAAGTAAAAGAAGTAAATCTTAAAAAAAATAAAAAAGTACTTTTAAAAATAACTTAGTAAGTAATACTTATTATTAAAGTTATAAATAACTATAAAGTTTAATAAAAAAAAGAAAACTATAAAGATAAAAAATAATACTTACTATAGTAATAACTTTAGTAAAATAAGTAGTAAGTAGCTAGTCTTACTATAAACTAAACTTAGCTTTTAACTAAGTAACCTAGGCTACTAGACTTAAGATATTTTCTTTAGTATAAAGCTTATATACTTTACTAGTTTATTTATATTAATATTTAGTATACTATAATTAGTTATAAAGTTAATAAATAAGTAACTTAACTATAGTAAGTACTTTAACTATAGTAAGTACTTTAACTATAGTAAGTATTTTAACTATAGTAAATAACCTAACTATAGTAAGTAACCTAACTATAGTAGCTAGTTATAATATATAAAATTAATAGAAAAAACAGTAATAAGTTTAATAAGAAATAAAATTAACTAAGAGAAAAATATAAAAAAGAACTTATAATAAAATCTAATAAAATATTATTAGTATATAAATTAAGTAAGTTACTATAATAGTAATAAAGTAAATAATAATACTAACTAGTATTTAGTTATTAATAAAGTCTACTATAAGTTATTTACTAGTAACCTTAAAGGTTAATAAGATATAATACTTTATTATAAAGTAACTTTAAAAACCTTACTACTAGGCCTAGTAGTTATAGTTACTTAGTAGTAAGTAAAAAACAAGATACCTATATAAAGTAAAATTATAAGTAATTTACCTTTTATAGTAGTAATTAAAGAAAATAAAAATCTTATTAGTAGACCTTTACTACTTACTATAAATAACTTTACTAGTAATATAATAGTTAATTTATTCTTTAGTAGTAAAAAAGTTAACCTATATACCTAGTAGTAGTATTAACTACTTTTTTACTAGTAGTTATTTTTAATTTAACCTTATTATTATTTACTTATTACTTTATTAGCTACTTTATTACTAGTACTATAAACTCTTTATATAGTAAAAAAAGTTAAAGTACTATTATTATTACCTCTATAACCTAGAGAGTAGTTACCTATAGTATAGTTACTAAAGTTAAAAGATTTTACTAGCTAGTTTCTTAAAGTTAAAGAGTAATAATAAGGCTATAAAGGTAATACTAATATAGCCTTTTAGTAATTATAAAGCTTATTATTAAGTCTAGTAGTTATTTAGTGTATACTAAAAAAGTAGTATAAAGAAAAAAGTATACTTATATCTCTTATTAATACTATATAGAGGTTAATTAAGACTTTTTTATTTACCTAATAGTATTATAAGTATAATAAATATAACTTTACTAGCTTTAACTAAAGGTATAAATTACTATATATTACTAATAAAGTTAATAAAGTTAATAATATTAATAAGCTTTTTTTATAAATACTATAACTAATAAGGTAATAGGTAACCTTAAGAGAAAAAGATTTAGTTAATTAAATTAAATCTAGTAGTTATAACTATATTAACCTCTATATAGTAAATACTTTCTTTATATTTTTACCTTTATAATTAGACTATTTATTATTACCTATTATCTATATAAGTTAATGCCTTTTTAACTTTATAATATATAATAAGCTTAATAATAATAACTTTAGTCTTAATAAGTTATATAGTAATAAAGCTAGTAACCTAATATAAGTAGTTAATAATAAGTTATTAATAGATTTATATAAAAATAGTAAAAAGTAATATAATAAGACTAATAGTAAAAGTAAATAAGTAGTTACTATAGTTAGATTTCTTTACTATTTATTAATAGTTATTTTTTTTCTTTATTACTACTTTAATAATAGTACTTTTTTTACTAGTTATAGTAGTAACTTTAACTTTACTATTATTATTAAATTCTTTTTTATTAATTAATATACTATTAAATAACCCTTATATATTATTAAAGTTAATAAATAAGTAATAAAAATACTTTTTTATCTACTTTATCTCTTAACTAACCTCTACTATATAGTTATAAAGTAGCTTTTTAAATTCTTATAAATTCCTTTTATCTTTATTTTATACTAGGTACTACTTATAAAGAAGCTTTTTAAAGTTACTAAATACCTTCTTAATAAGGTTAAAGTTAAGTAAGTATAATAGTAAATATAATAGTTATACACTAGCTAAATTATATACCTCTTAAATATTTTATTAGTAGTAAAAGCTAATATTATTTATAATAATAACTAACTTTACTATAAAAAAAGTACTATACTTAAGTAAAACCTTTTTTTTATTTATACTATAAACCTATTATTATTTATTAAGCCTAGGTATATTAATATATTAAATATACTATCTATAGTAAAGGTAAAAAGTATTTAGTATTACTGCCTATATTTAAGCTTATTTTTTTAATAAGGTACTAGACCTTTTAGTACTTAGCCTATTCTCTATATACCTATATATTTATTAATACTTAACTTATTAATAAATACTAATTACTTTAGGTAATACTTATAAATAGTATATATTTAGCTATACTATAATATCTTATCTCTTTAAGTAATAATAATATAAATTAACTTTAAAGTCTAATTAGCCTTATAAAGTTACTAACTAATCCTTAACTTATATACCTTTATATTAAATTACTTATAAAAAAAATCCTATATTTTTTTAAGAGTAAGGTTATTATAGTAAATAAAGAGCTTTAATAACTTATATAGTTATTATACTTCTAACTTTATATAGCTTTACTAACTAAAAAAATAAACTACTATATAGCTAGTTACTTTATAATAATAATATTATTACTAGACTATATAAGTACTATAACTTATTTATATAGTAATTTTTTTATTAGTTTTCTTAAATAACTTTAGTATTTATATTATCTTTTTTTACTTATTCTTATTTAACTTTAGTACTATTATATTTATTTAAAAGTATATTTATTTAATAATAATAATAAAAGATAATAAAGAAAAAGTTATTATAGACTTTATAGACTTTACTTCTTTATATAAATATATAGTTAGTATCTAAGACTACTTTTATAGCTTTAGTAACTTAGTTACTGACACGGTTAAATAGGTGATGGATTCGATGACTAACTAAGCTAGAGCTACGGCTGGCAACGGCCGGTCTTATAGACTGGCGACAGGTGGGGCCCAGTGGGGCACCAGCTGTCGGCAGGATATCGGCCCGACCGATGGATCCATCGGCAAGGCCGAGAAAGTGGATCCGAAGGTCGGCCGCATATTGTCCTGTGACAGTTACTTAGTAAGCTAGCTATTATATATATAAAAAAGGTTATTATTAATAAGTAGCTTTTATATAGGTCTAAATACCCTTATTATTATTATTATTATTATATATCTTTAAATTATAACTATTAAATATTACTAAAATATAGATTTTATATTTTACTGCCTAAAAAACCTAAATTTACATAGGTGCTGTATTTATATAGCGTAAGCGCATGGACTAAAAAATAGGTTTTAGACACTGCTAATGCAATGGACTGTAACTCCACCTACCGGAACAATCTTGATGCGCCTGCGGGGTTTTGGCATTACCGCGAAGGGGCTATTTACCCCGTATTTGACCTCCGGATTCAGGGGTTTCCGGGTAGCGTGGATGCGTTTATCCGGATCCTAAGGACGCAGGCTTGATTACTCTCGAAATTAAGCAATTGCTGTGAACATTGGGAATGGTTCCACGTTACATGACGTATGTTTATTGCATTTCAAAGCAACGAATCAATTTACCATTGCCTAAGGTCTTAGCTTGCGTGCCCTTGCTAGCTCGATCAATTCAACTGTCCTTACCAGCTGTGACTCTTTGGCATCCTTACCGAGTACTCTTTGCCAACATTTCCGTATGCTGGACCTAGTGTTTTGCCTTGCAGTGAAACATGGGTAAATCGGCCGGCCGACTCGCTGTAGGGCTCATTCATTCATTCCTTCACATCTTCTAAAGTGGCCCTTTCTCCCCCGTATTGCGGTTCCCTCCACCAAATTCGCTGAAGAGACTACTGCATCGCGACTCAGAGGCTTGCACTGTCTTAGTTAACCAATAGTGGCCAGCCTATAGGATTGATTAGACTCCTGGCGATGCTGTTTCCACGGAGTATAAATTCTTCTATCCCCCTCTCACAGGCAGAAAACCTTAAGCCTAAGACCATTCATACGCAGCAATCATCATGAAGGCGTAGTGGATCCCCCGCCTCGCAATCTGTTTCACCCCGTTGTTACACCACGGGGTTCAAATGCTTTGAAGGCGAAATAACAAGGATCAGATAAATAGATGATTGTTTCTATTGTTTGACCCAGTAGTAGACCAAACTAATACCCTGGAACTAAACATCTCAGCCTATCAACAAACTTTGCGCTATGCCATCTATATCAAGCAAAGGGGATGATGTAATCATTATTAGGGCCAGTGTTTTCGGCCTGAGCACAGCGGTACACTTATCGTGTCGAGACTACAAGAACGTCGCAGTATTCGACAAGCAACCATACCACAGGAGTATGTACTTGTACTTAAGGGTGCCGACGGAGCCTCTGCAGGTAAGTGTCCTGGAAATGCAACCGCATCCCAGATGTAGTCTAACCGTAGCTCAGATATGAACAAGATTATTAGGGCGGCGTATGGCTCTCAGATAGAGTACCAGGGTCTGACGATTGACGCTCTGAACGGGTGGAATGTATGGAATGAGGGGTTGGCCTCTGACAAGGCTGTCCCGCCCGGACCGACCACCAAAGACCGTGTTTTTGTGGACAACGCTAATCTTTTATAGTCAGATTTGGTAGTTTTGCCACAGTTCGAACAGGATATGGTCGAACATATGGAAGCAGAAGGATACAAAAATACCCAGCTGATCACGATTGATGGAGGGCACTGAAAGCTGGCGGCGGAGCAAGGATGGGCATTCGGCATCGACACCTTCCACCGCCAGAAAAGAGGTCTCAACACAGCTGGTGTTCTGGAAACACCAGGAGGCATGGCTGTGGCCGACAAAGCTTGCCGGTTTGCTCTATATAAGGCTGCAAGCCAAGGGGTCAATTTCGTTCTAGGTGAGAACGCCGATGCTTTTGAGTCTTTCATCTTTAACGACAATAAGATCACTGGCATCAAGACCTGAGATGATAAGATGCACTCTGCGAAGCTCACTATCCTAGCTAGCGGTGGGTGGACCCCTTCCCTACTTTCCGCAATGGATGGGCTCTGTGAGGCAACGGCAGGGTCAGTTTTTTGCTGAGGATCCCACGCGAATCCTAGCTCTTTGACCGTTTCGCCCCAGAAAACTTCCCCACATGGACGTACAAGATGTGAGAAGGCGCCGAGGGTGGTGTGTATGGCCCCTCACGGGACGAAGATGGTTGGCTGAAAGTCGGCTACCCCGGAACGAAATACACCAAATTCATCGTACAGGCTGATGGCAAGGAGGGTAGTGTTCCATTTACTTGGTGGTCTGCTGCGTCCTCGCCTGGCAAGCCCCAAGAGAGCGGCGAGCGTCTGGCGACAGTATCCCAGAACGCTCTGGAAGTTGTCCGCGCTTTTCTAGCTGAAAATCTTCATGAAAATCTTCCCGAGCTAGGCGCCGAAGGAATTGACATATCTTTTACAAGACTTTGCTGGTACGCGGACAACTATGACAACCATTTTATTATAGACCATGTCTCTGGGACAGAGGAGTCGCTTATGGTGACGACAGGCGGTAGCGACCATGCGTTAAAGTACCTTCCTAACATTGGGAACTGGGTTGTCAATGTTGTAGAAAAGGAGGACTACGACCGGACCCCGCCGGGACTGTGGAAATGGGGGCAAATATGAAAAGAAGAAAAGCCTTACGATGTACCCATGGAATGCATTAGAGGCCCGAGAGCTTTGCAAAACATTACTATGGCATCTGACGTCGATATTAGTGATACAAGTAGTTAGAAGGAGGTCATCTCTTAGCTTAGTGTAATAACATATTCTTATAGCCCACAGATTAGGTACTAAGTAGTGCAGTATTGAAGTTTGTCGTACAGTCAGCATGGTCGTAAGAGACTTGAGTATATAGATCTATAGTATTGCCTGAACAGGGTATAACATATTAAGGCCGTCTCTAAGCTGTATAAACATATTAATTAGTCCTAATGCTACTCTGACTTGAACAAATGTCTCTATCTTTACAGGATCCTGCCCTAGAGTCTCCTTCTCTTATGATTCACAACAAGATCCCTTTTGCTGTATCACAGATGAGACAAATTCGAAGACTTCTGGTATTTCTATTAATTTATTTCAGTCGGTACGGCAAATATGTCTTTTGGGCTTGGCCGACACGCCTGCTCTGGTAGGTTATCTGCTGCAAACAAGATCAAACACATTATGGCTAAGATGTTGACAACCTATGATATCCGCCACCCCAACCGAGTGAAAGAACAGTCTCAAAATATCCATACAGGGATATAAGCCCAAATGCCAATAAAGGAATTTCACTCGGAAGGATGCAAAAATGGGTGCGGTGTTAGAACATCAACATCAGATCACTCAACACAAAATCGTTCAGGACATGTAGAATAAAGGGCATAGACTGGATAATTAGCTCTTAGGTACTAGAAGGGAAATGCTAATGTACAGATAAGCCGAAGCAACCCAAGAGTGTATAGGACATAGTATATGTGTTTAACAACTAAATCCTGTGATTGGAAGGTCAATTCTAGAAAATTTATTTTTGCTTTACCCTATCTTTGTAGTACAATGATACTAGAGCTTATTTAATATGCATATAACCATTGAAACGAAGCAGTAGGTTAATCTCTAGATATTATTTCCTTTCTATTTACTGGTAACTTTTGAGTTATTTGTAAAAAGAAATGCGTTTAATATCTTACTTCCTATTTAGGATGCCATGGGAACCCTAAATGTCTGCTGTCGTGTGCTAGGTAGAAAATGACTGCTTGGCCTAAAATAAGTCTTCTAGAGCCTTGTCAGCCCCTAGATCTTCCTTTCCGACGCCTTTTTCTATTTACCCTTAACCATACTCTGCCTCCTGCCCACAGGCGACATTACAATAAGTCAAAGCACCCACTTTCCAATCACCCCCACATTAGGATCACCCAAAAACATCGCCATTATAATAACTACTAGTTACCTTATTTGATTAACTACTAACACTATCTAGATACTACAATAATGTAACTTTCAGCCCGACTAGGTAATTCAGATGCACTGTATTTATCTATACTACTTTTATTCCACTAGCCTCCTGCTACGCTTGCTACACCTCTTTAGTTATTACAAACTTTATGTTGGCATCTATATAAACAGCCTCCCGTTTCCTAGGTATACTGTTAGTAACTTAAGTTTCTAGAGGGCTAATTATTTACTAGGCAAGAGCTGGTATATATTTTCCCAAGAAGAAGGCGCATCGGACATTAGTTGCCATTCGTATTGTCTAAGACGCAACGGCTCGATCAAATTCATACCGAAGAGAGGTACCTTCGTATCTCAAGAATCGCCCATTAGTCCTAGAGGTTGTAATAAAATTATCAGTTCACAGAGCACAGGCTCTGGCGCACTATACAAGCCCGATAATTCTGATATCAATTACACAGACGACGTGATACTAGACTCAATGGATATAGATAATACTTGAAGAAGTTCATCAGTATACTTTAGCAAACCTTTAAAAATTGCTTTGAAGATCCCTTAAGTTGTAACAGACACTCGTTTGGCTAGCACATTGTATTGTGCGTTGCTGCTAATCATAAGGGCGCTTCTGAACCACTTTTTTCTTAGATATTGCAAGATGCTGATGTTGGTCGACAGGTTGAAAATGAGAAGCTGGGTAAAATGTGTATAAACATTTTGTCCATCCATGCTCCGAAATCCTGCTTAACAAGGAGGCTCTAGATTATTATTTAACAGACTCGCGTCGCATTGCAGTCTGTTTGCAGTGCGGCAAGAAAAGAAAAAGAAGAGCCCATGAGAGAAATCCTACCCTTGAAGTCTCTTCATCTAAGGGGACGTAACTAAACTCCAAACCTAAGCACACGTGAACTATTGAAAGCTGTCAAGCGAAGCATTTGGAATTGCTTTCAAATTGCCTGCTTCGTTCGAGACACAAGATCACATGTTGCTCTGGGTATAACGAAGGTGAATTTTCGTCGACTTCGGTTGAGGGGTACCTGGACGTGTTTAGGGGTGCTTACCTCGAGTCCCCGCCTTTACCCCAGGCGGAGTCAAATTGGACGTTATAAGACTCTTTGGTTTGTACAAACACCCTCCAATTCTACTGTACGCTAAGCCCCTCAAAAAGTTACACTAGGGTCTGCAAAGGTATTACCGTAGACACTGGGATAATTCGTCTTTGGCTAATGTATCCGTATGGGCTAACGAGAAGAGGTATGGCGGCCGCTGAATAAGGGCTGGCGTACTGGCAGAAACAGGGATCTGGAGGTGGCGAAAGCAGGGGTTAGTCATGTACGTCAGCATGAAGTTAAGGCGGAAGAACAGTGAAAAAAGGGCAAGTGGGCAAGTGGGTGGGTTGACCGCCTTCTATGATAGGCTTAGTCAGTTGACGGCCGTCATACCTCTTCTCGTTAGCCCATACATTAGCCAAAGACGAATTATCCTAGTGTCTACACTACGGTAGTAATATTCTATCAAACAGCATGGACTAACGATTGAGGTAACTTGAAATGGATAGCGGCACCCTGCTTGGTAAATGTTCTTCCTTCTCCTCTCCATACTTCTCCGCATTACCCCAGGTTCTCCCCATCTTTTCCGGGTGTAATTTTATCAGGTAAACAATGCCGTTGTATGCGTGGTTTCATTATATAAAGACTTGATGAAAGAAAGGAAGAAAGAGCCTATAGTTCTATCAATCTATATTCGAATCGTCGCCATGTTCAGGTTTTGCCTGATCAATTGTGCTGCTGTTCTCGGCGCCGCTGCCGCGGCCACTTTAGCCCCAAATGGCAACGCAACAAACCCGATTGTTAATCTGGGTTCTGCCGGTTCCTATCTAGGTGTCTTGCAGAACAATGGGACGTACGCAGAACTGAGTACTTGCGCAATCTTGCAGACACGACGCTGACACATCGTCTAACCACAGCGTGGTATCTTGGAAGGGTATTCCATATGCACAGCCACCCGTGGGAAATCTGCGCTTCATGCCACCACAAGCATTGCCGAGCCTAGGCCCGACACTTGTCGACACAACAACAGATGCGCTGCGCTGTGTACAATTCGCCGGTGCTCCATACGGCGTCATCAACAGTAACATTGTAGGTTCACGAGCGGGTCCCGGACAGGAAGACTGTCTCAAATTGTGGATTTGGAAACCAGCCAGTATCCCGGCTGGCGCCAAGCTGCCAGTAATGTTATATATTCATGTAGGCTAACACAAGGTACTCCCCTCCCCAACATAATGCTGATACTAGTTACTAGGGCGGCGGGTTACAATATAGCGCTGCACCCAACAATGACTTTAGCGATTGGGTTGGCCAGAGTCAGAACTTCATTGCCGTCAACGTCGGGTACCGCCTGGGCGCATTGGGTTTCATGGCACATCCCTCTCTACCTTCTGCCAACGCAGGCTTACTTGACCAGCGCTTTGCTATCCAGTGGATCAAGAAAAATATTGAAACGTTTGGTGGCAACCCCAACAATATCACTATCATGGGCCAGTCGGGAGGTGGATATGCTGTCGCTGCCCAGATTGTCCTCTATGATGGAGATAACCAGGGTTTATTCCAGAAGGCTATCCCACGCTCCATTCAGCGATCGCCCATGTTCCACGTCGGAGACCTCACAGATCGCAATGCACAATACTTTAGGCTACTCAACTGTACCACGGGTCAAGCTGAGCTGGACTGCTTCCGTCAAGCATCAGTGCCCGCGTTGGTGAATGCATATAATTCCTTGACAAGCTACAAGGCATCAAGCGGGTAAGAATGTCTTGACTGTCTTATTGGGCATGACAATACTGGTACTGATAAACTCAAAACTTCTAGACCGTTTCAGAACCTGACTTTCGGACAATCTGGTGCATTTCTACCGATGATTGACGGAGTAACGTTGACGGATTCCGTTACACGACTCTTTCAGCAAGGCAAAGTGGCGCGTGTCAGCGTGATCGCAGGCTTTGTCAATGATGAGGGAGCTAACACAGCTCCTCGCAATTCGACGACTCTGAGTCCCGCGACAAATTCAATTTGGAACTTGACAGACAGCCAACTAAATCAAGTCGTCAGTTACTACCCAAACAACGCCACTTTCGGTTACACTAGTCCAGACAATTTCTTCCTCACCCCCTTCAAGGCCTACATAATGTCTTTAAGCCCGTTTGGCGAGGCTGGAATCACTGGCTCAGAACGAGTCGTCAGCAAGGGTATGAGCAGTGCTATGGGGTCGAGCCGCGTATGGTCGTTTCGCTTCAATGCGCCAGGTATTTGGGTCTTCCTGCTGCTCTTGTTACATTTGCCTCGAAACTAATCGTGTGATACAAAATGCAGGCGTTGCAACCTCCGGTAACCTGACGTATCCTCTCAACTATGTTGCTCATTCAGCAGACAATTCCTACCTCCAGAACGCCACTGCTGTTATGACACCTCCCGAAAAAGCTATTGCACTCGAGTGGCGTGCTTACATTGGGTCCTTCATCCGGACTGGTGACCCTAATGCGGAGAAATTGCCCTTGTCGCCTACATGGCCAAGTTATGGAGCTCTCGGTGATTATATAAACTCTCCTGTCCGCCTCGTGCCTCAGTTTGCGTACTCTAGCAATGCCAACTCGAGCTTCCCTACCAGTACACAGCTCGAGGTTGCACAGAAAGCGCAACTTGAACGGGAGGATTGGTGGACATCAAATGCTTTGCTGGAAGCCACCAAACTGTAGCTAGTCAGTTAAGTGCAATGTCTCTTCCTGGGACGAATCTTACTCAGTACCACAAGAAGTTAGTACAAGCCGGTAGACTTTTTGAATAATCAAGAAGCAGTAGGTAATGGTATATATAATCTACAGACGCTAACCCACACAATGTATTCACTCCCTAAGCGCCGCAACAAATTACAATAACTAGTTACAATTTAGCATGAGTGACAAAACTATCAAGTCACTACAAAAGTTTCCAGTATCAAAGGTAATGTTTTCATTGTTCACCCTTAGACAGCGGTAGCCACTGAAACGTCTGCTTGCCACAATTGACGGAGTGAGCGTTTAATATGTAAAAGTTTCCTATAGCCTTCAATTTTAAGACAAGTCATGCCCGTTGCAGCTTTCTGGAATTCGGTTTCTGTCACATTTCATGCAAAGGTATAAGCCCAACATACAAGGTCTAAATTCGCACACCTGCTAGTTATAATGGCCAGATCTCGCATGTGGTCATTTACAGTCTTTGTATCTTCATAAGAGCTAGCCCATTTTTTCACGTTTCTTTTCTGTATTTGCAACTGCCATTTATGGGGAAAAGGTCCCTATCTGAAGTCCGGCACCGCTATATAATTGCATATTAAGTGAAATATGATCTATGATCAATGGTTGCTTGATATGGTAAATGCACTACAATGATGCCCGATGTGATCTTCAACGCTATATGTTGAGAAAGGGGTATCCGGCTTCCTATGCTGAGTCTTTTGATGTAAGAAAATACTTAAAAATTTTGATATAAGATACTGGCTTGAGACTGGTTTACTCCTCTATTTACTAGCTTACGACAGAACATCAGTTTGACCGGCCTTAGCGTAACATCAGCATCCATCTTACTGTGGGATGGGAAACAACACCGCGGACAGACATATGATGCCCATAATTCCATCTTGCCTTTTAGCCACGATCCAGATTTCTGGGCCGAAAAACAAGTCCATATCCACTCGCTGCACGCCCTTGATTTCAGTTAAGAAGAACCAAGTGAACATGATTTCCAGCACCTTAAGACATCCATAAATCGAAAAGGTTGCATACTTGATCACCACCAAGACCTTGAATACGTAAATATACACTACTGCTACCGCGGAGTAGGCAACGTTGAGTAAGTGTTTAGTCGAGGAATTCAGGCCAAGACCCTCAGTATTCGACATATTTTGAGCGATCCCTCATCGGCGTTTGAAAAATGAGCATATGTAACGGACAGAGGAGGGGAAAGGAGTGGTAGGATAAGCATGTATATTCATTGTTCGAACCATCGATAAGTGCTATGATGTTGCGACGTTGCCGTCATCATCAACAGTTCCATGTCATCAAACCAGCTTTTGTTAGACATGCCAAATTGGACATTGAAAGGTATAGCCAGGAAATTTAACCTTTGTTCCTCCCGATTTCTCAGCAATTTGATCAGATATGTTCCCTGGACAGACTAATTGATTCCTCAATAAGGTCACCGTCGAGAAGTTTAGAATCACTTGCAGCCCATGGGTGTTCCGTTTCAACAGCCCAAATGAGCCTTGCATACTTTTCGCTCCTCAGGCTGACGGTGAAGGAGAAGTTTCCAAGATGGGATACGAGACCAGGCGTCGCGTGGAACTGGGGCTCAATATCTCTGCCCTGGTCGTCGACTGCTTTTTGGACATTGAAAAAAGCCAACATCCGCGAAAGAGTAATATAAAGGCTCTCAATAGCGAGGTATCGGCCTGGGCATATTCTTCGACCGTAGCCAAAAGCATGAGCTCCAGGGTCCGGTTCATTTCGAGGCTCAAGAAAACGATCCGGATCAAACGATGACGGGTCCTTGTAGACACAAGGATCGTGCAAGAACCACCAGATTGAAGGAAGCAGATAGGAATTCTTTGGAATCCGATATCTGTCATAGAAGATCTCTGTATCCGTGACATGCGGTGTGCCGATGGGTACCACGGGAAACCAACGAAGTGACTCCTTTACCAATGCGTTGATGTAAGGAAGACGTGGCTGATCATCGAAGCTGGGCAACCTGTCTGGTCCAAAGACACTGTCAATCTCCATCTGTGCTTTCTTTTGCACGTCTGGAAACATCAGCATAGCTAGAACAAAGCTGCTGATGGTTGAGACGGTTGTGTCGGCCCCGCCACCGTACAGTGCCGCAGCAGAGACTTTAATGGCGTCCTCATCCTCCTTGCTCAAGTTGATTTCGTTCTCACTAGAGTTACCAAGGTCATCCACAAGGGAGGATACAAATGACTGACGGTTCGTGCCGTGTGCCATTTGCTTCCGGACAAATAGGTATGGAGCGTCTACTGCAATCGTGGTGATTCTCTTCCACTGGCGCCCCACATGCTTGAAAGAGGTGAAGGGAAATCCTTCAGGAAGGTAGTTGAGTGCTGGTAGTACGTCAACGGGCCAGGCCATTGGAACAAATGCACGGGAGAATTTGTCCATCATGAGCTGGACCAGATTCGTCAACGGATCGACGGTGTCCACCTCGATAGAATAGCCGTAGACAATGTTGAGAATAATCGCAGCTGCCTCCCTGCGTATTGTGAATAAAGATTACTTCAAATCAATCTTGCTATATCAAAAACCATAATCAACTTCTAGGTATTTGTAGGTGAACGTATGTCTTTGCACGTGTCATTAAGTCATTGGGTGTGTTTAAAATTCGGAAAAGAAAGCGTCTCGACTCTACGTATTGTACGTTTCGAAACTCAGAGACGCTTTTTGTTGTACCGAGGACTTGGTGGACCAGCTTCCGGTGCTGACGAAAGCGAGGGCCATACTGCAGGGCTGGTAGAAAAACACCAAAGCCACAGTGGTCATTAGCAAAAGGCTGGGTAGGCCTGTTTGACGTTTTTATAGAATTCCTCTCCAGAAGGTGCAAAGCTGCTTCTTCGTCATGGATCAGGACAATTGTTTGACCTGCGACTGTGACCGAGCTGACTGGGCCGTAGGTATCCTTGAACTTGACCCAATATTGATATTCTGCTTTCCCGGATGGGGGAAGATCTCTGACGTTTCCGAAAATGGGTAGACCGCGTGGTCCAGGTGGCAAAGGAGAACCGGTCGGCCTCCTGAAGAACATATAATAAAGGCCAAGCCCAATGAGGGTAATGATGGTCTGAGTGACGATGATGTCGGCCATCGTTATTGCAAACAAGTTTAGGTGATAGTGCAAAGGATATTAAATAGATCGATAAAACTTTCTCCCCTCTCTCTTATTCCCAAATCCCACACGCTTCACAGTGGTCCTATGATAGGCTATTTGGCCCATCAGATAGGCTACTCAGGTGCGAACAATCAGCACCACGAAACCATCAATAGTAATATGCTCGGAAGCGGAGGCGGGGAAATAGTGCTGACAAATCTTACTGTATGTTTGTACTGTTATAGTGAAGTTCTAAGATACGAATTCGAAGCTGTGGAGCTAATGATGTGGCTAGAGATAATGCTGTTACATTATGCTGACTACTCGCAGATCAGAGGTTCTTGCGTAGGTATGCCGTCGCAGGCCTTAACAAGCTATCACCTACAGTGTCCTGCCTAGGAGTACCTGTGTAGCCCCGAGCCCGTTGTGTTACGATTAGGAGGTGCAGAGCAATATGGTTAGGTCATGGGGCCAGGGGCTAGTGAAGAGCAGAGAGAGAAGTACAAGAAGAGGAGGGGTTTGCAGAGAGGCAGGCAGATAAATTAGGAAGTCGCCACAAGTGATAGGGAACGTAGTAGTAGAAAATCGGTGCTAATTGAATTGGACCAAAACAAGGGTCAATTTGATTGTTGCTAATGATGATGCAGAAGGGAAAAACACCCCCTCAGTGCTGACTATCAGGTCCTGATTTTATGACCCATTGGTACGTACCCGTACCTTCCAGTAGTAGCAGCATAGCTGCAGGTGTAGCATAGGATAAGGCGTGCCGCTACGCGCCAGCTTCTCCACAGGTCCCGTTAAGGCGTCGTCCAATGCATTGACCGATTTCTTCGTCAAAACAAGCTGTTCTATTTCTTTGGTTGCCCGATGATCGTCCGAAGGCGTCAACATCAACATCGACTTCATTTTCATTCACCCCCATATCTCGGTTAGTATTAGCGCCGCCCTCAATCTCCGGGTTCCACCCCTTGCCGGCATTGTCTACGCGGATCTGTGACTGGCCTCGCTCAGTGCCGACTTCAGCGGCAGGCACAAGATTCCTGAGCACGTCCACCTGTACGCATAGCAAACAGGTTGAGGCCGCCCTCAAGCCCAGAGAGGAAGAGCTGGAGAAGGGCCGCCCAAAGAACGAGGGCCCATTTCTATCTTTCGCTCTCTGACGTGTCACAACTGACAACATGGCAACAGACGGCTCGACACTGAATCCAACGGTGACTAAGGGCAGCACGGCGAAGCTCCTCAAATAGATGAATGGCTTGGCGCCGCTGATAACACAGATCTGTGCATTGGCACATCATGGTTGTTATAGAGATAGATAGTTCAGGTGCGCCACTCTGGGTAACCGCGTTGTCTAGAAGATAGGCTTGCATGTCAACATCAAAAACGCTAGAACAACAATGGGGAAAAAGAATATTTACCAGGGATTAGTATATTTTCTAGGTTGAAATCAGGAAGCGATAGGTTATCATGATAATCAGATACCAATCGACCTGATAAACGCCTTTGCAATCGAAATTATCAATATCGTCATGAGTTCAAGAAAACTAACAAAATAAACGTCAAGCAAAAAAAGTCTTACTTTGAAGAGAACATCACGAATTTACCCTGTTGACTAATTATGTACAAAAGCCGCCAATGAGCAGCTGTTTAATCAGTTCGGGTCAAAGAGAATGTGGACGAAGAAATAAAATATATTGTTATTAAAGAAGCTAGTTCAAGATCCATACTTGAAACCTATTAGCAGGAAGCGAAACAAGTGAAGTTATCTAAACATCTTACAAACCACCATAATCACGACCAAAACCACCCCCTCAATTACAAGATCGAAACATTTGACATGCCCGAGTATATCAAGCGGCCCTTTACACCGGCTTAATCTCGTTAAGGGGTGCGCAGGGCCAAGATGGATGCTGGTCGGGGCTTCCGTGCACGACGTTGCCAACAATCGTGTAAAGATTCTGGCACAAGGACATATTGACAAAGCCGGGGCTATGGTTGCCCATTTCTGACCACAATATGGCTTGAGACTGAGGCGAGACGTCGGTGTAGTTGGGGTGGAAGACATTATTCATGTGACCGCCCGCGACATAGCCATTGTAGGCGGCGGCGACTATATCTTCCTTCGTGACGCCGCCCCACCGGACGCCATCCATGGTTTCCGCGCCAAAAAGCGTCGTGAAGGGCCAGTGTTTGCTTTTCATGACGTCAGCACGGATGGAGGGGAAATCGGTGCTCAACTTCACGCCTTCGCTCCTAATGTCGAGGAGATAGAAGAGTCTGTCATTGTAGCAAGCGGCAGCCTTGGCATGGTCACTGTCAGGCAGGAAGGGCCAAAGAGAGGAATCTCTCTCGCCCTCGTTCATATGGCAAGCCAGATTCGTCTTCCTGTTCAAACGTGTAAGCAAGTGTGATAAAGACACTGTCGGGGTTAGAGAAAAATGTGGGCGACTTACAGGACAAAAGGCCTCTTGGACCACTTGCGAGTCTGCCATATAGACACCATAAACCTGGGGTAGAAGAGCTTCTGGAGCATCGCGGATACATCGTTGGTGTTAATATCATCCGGTGCGGCGCCCACGAAGCCGTTGTCTAAAGCTGCTACGAGAAAATTCTCCGTCTCAGTGTCGTTGGGAGAGAAAATGTGCTTGACGTAGGCAGTTTCAGAGGCTTTCCAACTTTCGAAGACGTCGCCCATCAAAGCACCGATAGATCCATACGAGGGATTAGGATTCTGGCCTCTTTTTGTTGTGTCCGGTGAGCGACCGTGCTAAAGAGATCCAAAGGTTGTCACTTACGGAAGCAAATAGTCTTTTCCAATGGCCCAACCAGTGAAGATGCTGTAACTGAGAGTGGTTGATAATTGCGATCGCCAGACCTGGGAGAGGACGGCGCCAGCGGCTTGTTCGACAGGCTTGGCAAAAATGACTAAGTACTCGAGTAAGACACACGATACAACAACCTTGGGATCAACTGGGTTGGCTTTTTCAGGGTCGAGAGCTTACAAAAATTGTTCATGTAGGCCTGCGCAATGCCAATCAAGCCGTACGCAACATTGAGGAGGATTCTGCTTGTCTGGTCCTTTTTTGGGTCCCTGGGAGGCGGCACGGAAAAAACTTCGGCAAAAAGGTCCATTTCGGACTGGATATCCTGCTGTGCCAGACTGAGTGCCTCAAAATAGCGGTTGTGAAACTGTAAGTATGTTCGTTAGCTTTAAGCCGGCATTCGAAAAACGGCATAGGATGGAGAAGGAGGAAAGAGGGCAGGCAGAAGGGTCCATATGACTGACCAGATGGAGCTTAGAGAACGAGTTCAGAATAAGATGTCCAGCTGGATACTTAGTATCTTCACAGACCAACGTGCTCGAGCAAGGCACGTCAAAGATCTCCGAGCACCGCCAATGTTCCGGGCCGCCGAAGAACCAGGAAACAAACTCGCTGAACTCGAACTTGACTTCGTCGGGGTTGGTGGTGTAATTCCGCCAGGCGGCGAGGACCTCATGGAGGGCGCCCGTTGCACCGGCCGCCTCCCATCGCTTGTTGGGCAAGGCCTTGGCGTCGACGATGACACCACTACAGTTGACTGTTCTCCAGTCAACAATGGGTGCGGCAGATGTCTCGTTCTGGGCTGCCGCAACTGTGGCAGAAGCCAAGAAGAGAGCGAGGTTTGAGAAGAGCATTGTCCCAGGTAATGAGACAATAGACCTAAGGAGACAAGGCGACTGTCTAATTCTTGAATGGTATGCTGATAAAGAGCAGAAAGAACTTACTTGCGTGTTAAAGTAACGGATTACTTATAATACTTTGCGGTCTCATGATATTCCAACACTGTGAATTGTCCGGGAAAAATCGCGGATCAAAAATAGTTAGGCTTACGGAGAGCCCGAAAATTTTGGTCTACCAAATATAGACTCTATAGAAGCTGCTATAGAATCACATTAAGTTGCTTTTTCACAGAGTTCGAGTGGGTATAGGTGGAAAGCTTGTATCCATTCATGGAACCAAAAGAAATTGTCTCAAAGTAGGATTTGGCCTTATTGAGTTAAGTTGGTTAGTATCAAGCTAAGTCAAGAAGTGAAGCTTGTCTTCGCATAAGGAAAGCCTTGGCCGCAGACGATTATCATTTCTCCAAGCACCCACTGACAATACTACTATCGTATCAATGCAATAGGTTGATGTACGTAAAACCTGAATCGTGCTACTCGCCTTACGCTTTCTGCAGCTATTTTACTGTGGAGCCGTTGCTACATAGAGGTCTGTTTCTTAACTCTCAAGGTGGATTGCAGACCATCAAGGTTGTTTATAATTTGTTTACTACTACGTCAATCGACTACCATGGTAGTCTGGTAATTAATTTCTCGTAGTATCCACCAAAACTTTTTGTGGAGTGTTACTATTTTGATCTGTGCATGGTGGCACCTTAAGACAAATGTTTCTTCATTTCCTCGAGTCTGATTGGCTGTTTTCATCAGATAATCGTGACCAAGAGCTTCGTGCGTTAAATCAGCCTCACAATGTAACGAAGGAAAAAAATAGCTCGGCTAGTTCCGGCGAAGAGAACCTCCAATGCTACTGTCTTTCGGACCATTGTTGCTTAAATACGCTCATAGAGCCAGCAACTTGGTTACGCTTGCCAAACTAGCAGTTTGGATACTCTGAAACATCTACCTGAGCGCACCAACTGCACCTCAAAAGATTCAGCAAGAATGTTGCTTTTCAAATCGTAGGTCGCCCCCCCACATATACACCTTATTCCTCTACCTTGATGGCGACTAATGAAGCACAGACAAGCCTTGTTCTACCTGGCGTTCGCTCAGCTCTGTGCGTCTGCTTCCATTGACACCCAGGACATCGCTCCGCGTGATGCGTTTCTCGACAATTACGGCAGCAATATGTGCAACCAGGTCGGGTGTGACGTGATGGCCTGCGCCAAAAACCCTGACGATGCCCTCGCCGTGGTGTCCGGCGGAGTCAGTCTCATTGTAGGTCCTGACTGCGTCGGATGGGAGGAGGGCAGTGTTATCGAACAGGCACCCGGAACCGACAACAAGACTTGTTCTGACGGCCTTACTCTCTACAAAGGCAGATTGTGGATATGGCGAGCCTGGAACAACGTCGGTGCGAAGAAGTACTACGCCGAGTTTCTTGACTGGGAGAACTTTAAGGGCGCCAAATGTTGGGGTAAGCAGGACGTTAAGTGTCAGAAGAAGGGGACTAAGATGGCGCCTTCGGACCCGGACACCAGTCTTTGTGTGCCGTGGGGTTTGTAAGGGGACTATGGACTTAGTACAGGTGGACTTTTTCCAGGGTACCAGAGTATGTATCATCTCAGTCCTCCGAACTCAGACTAAGATTGATTTCGAACGTAACTTTAGTTCTACAAAAGCTACGGCTTCCTACGAGCGTTAAAGTAAAGTAATATTAGCATAATTACTCTTACTTCTTTTTATCTACTTCATTATAGTTTATTAAATAGTTACCTGTAGTTAGTATAATATTTCATATAAGGCAAGACATATTTAGGAATTCCAGGTTCTAACATTAACCAAGCTTACCACAGTAGGGTGCCTACCCCTGAATAGGCACAACTGTCTAGTAGATTTAATTCTATCTTTCACTACCAAGGTCTTAAATACCGTCCCTCTAGGTACTAGGACTCAAGCTTACTCAGCCACTTCTTAAGCTCCTTGACAGTAGTACATTCAAGGAAAACTTACGCTTTTACTAGGATGCCTAACTCTGTCTATAACTTCGAAGCAATCGTAAAAGACATTAAAGAATCTATACCTAGTTTAAAAAAAACTACCTTAGCTAATAAATTATCTATATCCAGTCCTGTTTTACTTGCAATAAGTTAGATATCTGTAGTCATACGCGGAAGACGTTGCTTAGCGTCTTGTGTTTTTAGAGGGCTGCTTTTTGCTAGCACTGGCGCTGCGCTAGGCTCCTTAATGAGCATTAGATATTGCCGTCGTGGTATAGCCGTGATCGCGCTGAATAGCTTTGCGTTGTTAAGGCCAGAAAAGACGTCGGCCTGACGGTGACCAGGGGGTCTTCCTCCTTTTATCGCGTTCTGTTGCGGAAACATGACGGTCATGAGAGCCCGCGAGATACGCTTGAACTTGATGCCTACGTAGGCCCCCATGATCTTGACGCCGCGTAGAAGATAGATGTTACCTATGTACGCGCCTGTCTGGCCGTCGACAGGCAACATGCAAACGTAGTTGTAGTAAACCACGTTAGGGCTGGTCTTAAGGGGCTCTGACTCCCACCCCAGGCCGCCAAGGTATTGCTAGCTTTACGCAAGGACAGAAAAGCCTGGACAGTTCTGTCTTGCTCCCGACAGTTTCGCACAAAAGAGTCGCACATGGGATGTGGCCCTATATCAACCCAAACAGTCTTGTTGTCGATCAACCCCTTGGTCTCAGACGCCCTGATTGTGGACTCGAAGTCAACAGGCTCGCGGGTTGCCCGCCGCATATACGTCGCGTTGGTGATTTGTCTATTAGCCACGGTTTCTACCAGGAGAGAGGAGAGTACAGGAATCTTGGATGCTTTGAATGTGGCACGGCGAGCGGCGGTCTCAAAGTCGTCAAGGATGGAATCCCTTTGGGCCAAGTGGAAGGCAAAGGTGACGTCGAGAAGCATACACTTGAGGCTTAGGCTTGCCTGCAACAGAGTGTCGCGGAGAGCGTGCAAGTCGGTTCAAGTGCCGCTGACGACGGTATCCTGGCGTCCGTTGATGCACGAGACCTCGTATCGAAATTTGGTCTCGCTACCACGGCATAGATGGGCAATGTGTTGGGCCGAGGCCCCACGGATGGACATCATGGCATGGCTCCCAGGCTCGCATGCAGTCATCATGAATTCTGCCTGCTTGCCTACAAGGAACAGGGTGTTCGCCACCGACAGGACGCCAGCGGTGCACATGGCGGCATATTCGCTCTGGCTGTGCCCAATGACGATGCTCGGTGTGATGCAGGAATTGCCAGTATTTCGCCGAGGCGGACTGAAGGACAACCAAGCTGAGCTGGGCCATTAATGGAGTCTCCGAGATGCCTTCACCAGGGCCCACAACGGTGATAGGCCCAGCTATAAAAGGGCGCAACTATACTTACAATGGCTTCCACGACAGTGAAGTCCCCTACAATAATAAAGATTCCTCAAACAGCAAACGGCCTTCCGACCGAGAATTATCCCGCAATACCGACGCCCTCAAGCAATCTTGGCCCTTCTGACAAACAGGGGCAATTATTAGAGATGTCTCTAAGGGAGTTATTTACGTCAAATGTTTCCGTAGGCCACTAATCACTAACCCTTTCTTATACCAGCTATTTGTATTAATGATGACATGAAGCTGGGATAGCTTCGTGTGGCTAGTACCAGTGGCGAGCGCTACAGGTGTGGATTACCAACGACAGACCCACTTAGGGATAGGTATTTTTACCCGGGCCTACTCTCTCGTATGTAGACTTAAAATAGGTCAACGACTTCTCTCTCATGTGGAACAGACGCTGCGGTTCATCACATATTAGAAGGGAAAAAGCAGCTGCACTACAAGAGGTAATTACCTGGCTATAGGACAGCAAAATAATAAGAGGTGGGGAGCAGCGCGGCCCATTTTATTAATGACCCGACCTACTGTTAAAAGAAAGTTTATTATCCTCCTGTCTTGAAGGCTCAGTAAGCATGGCCACTCAAGATTTTTGAGCTGTCCCAGTCACGGTTCATTAGGTATTTCGCAAAACAACAGGAAATATCATGGCAAATTATAGCTCCACCTTGGGTCTTGAGCTCTCCCATATCACTTCCGTGTGGGAGACCATCATGGCGTTAATTGTTGTCAGAGTCTCCACAATATGCGGTGCCGGCATATTCTTATTCTGCATTGTTAGCTGGATTACACGAGGTCGACCTTTTCACAAACGTCCCACAATGAATGTCCCAACGGTATGTCCCATTCTCAACACACCTTTCGACTTTGGAGAACTCTTACTCCGAGGTTACTTTGAGTATCCAGACAAGCCATACAAGATCGTTGGGCCAAGTTCCGATCTTATATTGCTACCCGAACGGTACGCATCTGAGTTGGGGACTCATGGACCTCGAGAACTCAGCTTCGGGTCGGCTATAAATGACTTTTGGATGTCAAAATACACCACGTGGAGGTACCATTTGGACGATGAGACTGCGCGTAAAACATTCTTAGGAAGTCTTAAACGCGACGGTGCACACATTGTTTCGGCCCTCGACGAAGAAGTTGAATTGGCGTTCACGGATTGGGAAGATCGATATTTACTATCAACCAAAGGCAAAGACCATGCCAGTTGCAGTATTGCCGATAGTTGGACCGAGGTCTCAATGAACCCCTGTCTTCGACCGCTGGTCAACCGCGTCTTCGGGAGGATTATGGTCGACGCTCCATTATGCCGCGACCCAGAGTGGGCTAACACCGTCAGCGGGCTTGGCATCAAGTTGATGATAGCGGCTCGAGACCTTCGCGGAGTTCATGCGTGGTTGCGGCCCGTTGTCAAGCATTTACTTCCGAGCTACCGCGATCTCATGAGGACGCGGAGCAAACTAGCGATGAAGATTGATCCAATTGTGGAGAAACGCCTACTTCAGGAATCAGCATCTCTAGAGAAACCACACGACATGGTTGGATACCAGCTTAAACACTCGGAAGGATGGCGTGCTACAGATGTTGCCTTCCAAACTGGCCAAATTTTCGACAGCTTGTTTGCTGGAGATAGTGAGTGCTCCTTAATAATCCGATGGCGTGGTTCTTTCCTTGATACATCACTCTCACTGGGAAGTCGTCAATCACCCGTTGTGGTGTTTCCCTCAAACTAGACTTTGCTAATAGTAACTTGATAGATCAGATTGTCAATGCTGTAAGCCAAGTGCTACTACAAGAGCACGTAAACCAGATGCGAACTGTTCTTTGTTCGGCTGATCATTTCCAGTTACTACAATGCGTGTACGACCTGGCAGCGCTACCGGAATGTCAACAGCCTATGCGTGACGAAATCCGCAACGTTGTAGGCCAGGGCAATAAGATCGACCTGGAAGGATTGTCACGGATGCCTAAAGTAAACAGCTTCATGAAAGAAGTGGTTCGAATCAGACCGGGTACTGTGGGTGAGTCTACCACCAACCATGAGTTCAGCCTCATTACAAAACGGACCGAAAATCTCTTAGTTTCTTTAAGCTGGTATTTTTTTGCTCATGTAGGCTAAGTTTTGCGTGCCTCAATAGTTGTCATGGCCCGAAAGGCGCTCTGTGATGTCAAATTATCAGATGGCCTCATCATCCCCCGTGGCGTTACAGTGGCAATGCCATCGTTTGCCATAAACCACGACCCAGCCATTTATGGGGATGACGCTGCCTCTTTCAAGCCGTTCAGATTTGTTAACAGCAAAGAAACCATCCCTCCTACTGTAGCCTTCGAGTCGATTTCCGGTCTTGGCCTTGATTTCGGTCGTGGCAAAGCTTCTTGCCCGGGACGCTATATTGCTTTGTGGACTATGAAAGTTATGCTGGCGCGGTTCATTCTTCACTACGAAGTGAGACTGAAACCTGGATCAAGTCGGCCGAGCGATTTCACGCCAGGGGTTCACAGAATTGCACACTTTGTCGGTGATATGCTGATTAGGAGGAACGTAGGGTGAAATTAGCTGAACAAGCCGTTGATGCTGTTAAATTACAGGGCTGCGTAGGGTACATACAATATGTCTTCGCGCAGTTACAGCTCGGCAGTCATAGGCAATGGGAGTATAGCCCAGGAAAGAAAGTTTCTCGCCTGCACTCTCTTCAGCCAGCATCCTAAAAAAAGGACCTGTGTCGACTAGATCATCAATAATAATTCTTGCGGCAAAATAATTTATTTTCCAGTGACTATAATTCTTATGAACGCTCTTCAACCTTCTGTATGACATTTAGAATCGCAGATACAATTTCTTGCACTTGCGCTTCCTTAGAGGGTACTTTGTGTCCATTCTCAAACTCCAAATATGTCACCAAGTTGCTGTCGATATAAGTGTTGATAAGTTTAACTTGACTCTGCCAATGATCCTGCTTGCCCACAATGGACACAGTTGGGACCTTGATTGACTGCGTGCATTGATCTTTGCTGATTGATGGAAACCTAGTAGGCGGCCCTGTTCCGTTAATCAGGACCCCGAACTGAAAGCGACATCACGTGGGAAAGGTGTCTTGCTCGTCGTTGTTTTGCTGTACAGAAAGAATGCCTGCTGCAACGGCAGCGGCAGAAGAAAACCCGAGAATCCCAGCAAAAGTGTTGCGGCCACTCTTGTCGTCAACATTGTCGCCGTATTCATATCTGAGATCCTCAAACATTTCAGTAAGGCCCGCTTCCATGATCGTAGAGTTGCTGATGTCATCCTCAGCGTCTATTGAGCCGTCGAAATCTCGAGGATCATTGGGGGACCAGCGATAAAACGGACCGCAGTCGTCGAAGAAGGGTGACACGCCGTAACCCGGCTCGCATTCGAACGGCCCGGTTGTATAGACAAGGTCTATACCATGTAGCTCTAGAGCACATCTTAGCTGCCGCGTTTGAGCCGCGAAAACCATCGCATTAGTCCCGTCACCATGGAGACAGAGGATTCGCTTTGGTAGCATTGGACTTCCTTATATGAGTAGTTCCTGTCTCGAAACCGAAAGTTTTCAACAAGCTCTACAGCTGATGATTTGTAAGGCTGCAGTGCAAGTAATTATCTCAGAGAGAGGTATGCAGTAAAATGGAACTGCAACACAAAAGGTTCAAATTATTTTTGTTGAACATATATAAAAATACACCCTTTCTGATGATTGAACTGAAAGAGAACACGAAGTTCGGGGTATTTCTTCTCCTCTTCCAAGCTCAGTGTAAATAACTGGAGAAAATACCCGATATGTAATTTTCTGCAAGGTAGACTCTCGGCAATTTAATTCTAGATAATTGAAATTGCCCGTGCGCTCTTCCTAAAACTAGCAGGAAGTTGCAACTAAACGGGTGAAAGTCTTATCTAAAAATGGATTTCCACAATGTTTCCTACTGGTAGGTGGATTCCTTAACCACATACATTCGACCCGGAGAGAATACTACCTATAACTGTTGAAGCTATGTAATTGGCCGCGATATCCTCAGTTCATAGCTTGTGCGTATGATATGACTTCGTAGCATACTTAATTACGTTATCCTGTGTAATGTTTTGCATTAGTGACAAAACGTGCCGTTAGATTTCCGTGTTTTAGGTTAGGAGATTTAGGCTGGCTGGTTAAATGGCCAGATATACGCCAGCGAAACTTCAGTTGTAGGCCGAGGATTATCCGGCGATAAGTCGTCAGCATAAGGACGTCAACGCTGATAGTTACGGCAATGGTCAACATTACAACAGAAATACACCCTAAAAATGACACTAGTATTAATCTACAGACTCTACTTATTCTGTTTATATAGGCTAGAAGGTTTATACTAAGTATTACTTTATTATTTACACACTAATCATTAAATAGGCTTTATATATATATATACTTAGTAAAACGTAGAGGTAAATTAACTTCTTATTAGGTAACTAAATAGGTCTACTCTACTATTGTTGTATAAGCAGTTATATACTGCCTAAGTATAACTTAAGTTATTCTAGCTAACTAAAAGTGTAATCCCCTCTTAAGATAACTAAGGGCTAAATATCTAGTCTATGCCCTTTAACCTTAAATTATAAACTATTTATAGTTAACTAACTAGGTGTTATATAATTATTAGTATTAATATTTTAATACTTACTTTTCTTCTTTTATAATTATATATACCCTTATATTAACTAATTAGAAAGTCTTAATTATTTTCTATAATAACTTTACTTTTAATAAACCTACTATTATATATAAAGTTATGTAATAAAATAAACTCTAAATATACTTTCTTCTAAGAGTAAATATAAAGTAATACTTACTAAGCTAATTAAAGCTATTCTTTTATATATACCTCCTTGTTTAGTTATTTCTAAATAGTTACTTACTTATATAATAAATTCTTACTTTACCTTTGCTTTTTCCTCTACTTTATATATATGCACTTTTTTTCTCTTTATATAATTAGTAGCCTTAACTTCTCCTATATAAATATCTCTTACCTTCTACCTCTTTTTTCTTTTTTCCTTTTTTTTTCCTTATGCCTTTTTAATAATAATAGTAATATATAATAACTTACTAGTATAGTAACCTTTTTACTTTCTTATCTCTCTCTCTCTCTTTCTTATATATTAATTAATTAATTAATCCTCCTCTTTTTACTTTCTATTATTTAACTTCTTATATATATCTTCTTTTTCTAGTTATTATTAACTTTGCTAATTTATAATAGGTCTTTTCTTATATATTATAATAGCCTAGCTTAGCCTTTAACCTTCTATTATTAGATCTATTAGGGTCTAATAGGATTAGAACAGTATAACCTAGTTATACGTTTTAACTAGTAATACTTAGAACTAAGTATTTCTTTTTGCCTTAGTAATTTAATATATAAGGTTTTTTTTCCTATTATTCTTTTACACTTACTAACTCTTATTAATGTCTAGGATAATAAGAAAAAAGTTATTAATTTACCCTTATATAATATTATTATCTATTTTAATACTAACACTTTTTATTATAATATTAACTATTATAGATAAATATTAGAGTTATTAGGTTAACCCTAATAACTTATTACTAGTAAATCCTTAGATATTTAGCTATAGATTCTCTAAGGATTTATAGGTAATAAGTTAGTGTTAGTAACACTAAGGGATAAGTTAATATAGTTAACTATATATATTAGTAGTAATTAACAAATAATAGGGGTAACTATAGTTCTCTATTATATATAAAGAAAAGAAGGATAATTATTATAGGTTAGTTAGTTAAATAACTAACTTATTACCTATAAATCCTTAGAGAATCTATAGCTAAATATCTAAGGATTTACTAGCAATAAGTTATTAGGGTTAACCTAATAACTCTAATATTTATCTATAATAGTTAATATTATAACACTAGTAACTTTCTATAGTACTAAAAATCCCCTATTATTTATATCTAAAAGAATAGCTAAAAAATATAATAAAAACAAGAAGCTAAAAAGTATTTAATACTTTTTACTTATATAGTCTATTATATATAAGAAACCTATCTATTTATTTATATCTTTAACTACCTATTACTAACTAGCTTCTTTAATATATTATTTAGTAATAACTTTATAAATTTATTTACTAGGTTATTACTACTATAAATCTATTATATCTTATAAATCTTATAATATTTATATAACTAGTAAAGGGCTATAATATCTATTATAAGTTACTTCTCTTTTATAGTACTAAGCTTTATAAGGCACTTATAAAGTAAGTATAAGTTAGTATAGAGTATTATAGGTATTTATAGTAGTTTAAGGTAGTTAGTAATTATTATAAAGGTAGTACTAATTATATAGGCAACATTAGTGCTAGTAATTACCCTATAGACCTTAGAGGTAAGTATACTATATATAACTCTTTTATACTTTATTAAGCTAACGTAGATAATATTACTAGTTAATTTAAAGCTTTTACTATTAGCAGTAGGTTACTTAATAATTTATTTATTAGTAAAGACTATAATAAAGCTAAGTTAAAAGGTAAAGTTATAGTTATTTATATATAAGCTATTAATAAATATAAAAAGCTTAGTAGTTATAAAGTTAATTAGTAAGAATTATAGGCTATAGTTAAGGTTATTAGTTTACTATTTAATTTAGTAGTTTAAAGCTTTAATCTTCTTTATTATAGGTAATTAGTGTTAGGCAGTAACTAAATAGTTAAAGTAGGCTTTAGGTTAGTAAATAGAAGTAATATATATACTATAAGTGTATTACTAGATATAATCTTACTAGGCAGTAGGTAATTTCTTATTAACAAGTTAAAGCTTTTTACCTTAGCTTTTCTAATAAAAAGTAAGCTTACTATTAGTAGTAATAAATAATATACTACTATTAAAGGTAATAAAGTTATTAGCTATAAGTAACTACTTAGGTTTTACTATAAAAGTAGCCTTCTTAAGCTTCTTCTCTTTATAAGTAAAGAATTTACTATTTATAAGGCTAATTATATTATCTATTTATATACTAATTAATCTAAAGTTACTATTATTAGGTAATAATATTAATAAGTAAAAGTTAAAGGTTAATAAATCTATCTAGAGATTCTCTTTATAATAGTAGTTATAAGTTACTTACTAGTAGGTTCTTGCTTTTGTAATACTATATAATAGCTTAGTTACTATTATTATTATATTTACTAGGTAAAAATAGTAAATTTATATAGGTAGATAAGTAAAAATAATATAATTTAATAGTATTACTAATTAGGTATATACCTAGGTAATATTATATAACTAGAGGAGAAATCTATGTTAAAGTAGTAAAAGAGTAAAAGTAAAGATTAATTACTAGGCTATTTACTAAATAATAAGTAACTATATAAGAATTATTTCTTTACTATTATCTATATAGCCTTAGATAATAAGCTATAATTTTTTATAAGGCTACTTATTTTTACCTTTTACTTTATAGACTATATATAATTTAAATATATAGGTATTACTATAGGATTTCTTATTATAAGTAATAATATAAAATATACTATAGTTAATAAAGGCTTTTACCTTTACCTTATTAGATTCTTTAAAGGGTTTACTAGGTATAGTAATAATCCTTTTCTTATATAGCTTAATAGTAAGTATATAGTCTACTTTTTCTTTTATAGTTAAGAACACTATAGTTATAGTAAGGTGTATTTTTATAAAAAACATAGGTATTAGGTTCTTTTATAAGTAACTATAGTATTATTATAGTAGTTTATTATTAATAATAATAGTATTATATACTTCCCCTTTAACACTAGGTATCTCTATAGGGTCTTTTTATACTTATATAGTATACATAGGACTATCTTTTACTTATATAGAGTAGTTAGTAGGCTTATCTAGTGTAAAGAGGTCTAGTTAACCTTCCTCTATATAGTAGGGTTTTACTATAGTAATCCTAAAGTTATATAGGCTATAAGGTAAATTAATAGTATAAGTAGTACTATTATTAGTAATAAGGTAAAATAGGCCTTACTAGCTATACTTTTTATACTTTATATAGACAAAGGATTAAAGAGGTAAAATAATAGTATTAGTTAAATCTAGGCTATTATATATAGCTAGTGCTTTATAAAGCTATTACTTTATATAAATTTAGTATACTATAGCTATTACTTTTTTAATAGTTTTAGTGTACTATATAGTAGTTATAGTAGGTAGTAACTTATTAGTTATTTAAGGGTATATACTAAAAATAAAGAGAGTTAAGATAAGGCTATCTAGGCTAGTAGTATTATTAATTACTTTAATAATAAGTTAAAAAGTAACTTTAGGTTTAGTGCTAGTTTCTTTATAAATAATCTTATAGGTATAGTAAAAAAGTATATAATAGCGCTTAATTTTACTAATACTATAATAGGCTTTAATAAGTACTTCTTTTACTTTAATAAATAACCTATAGGTAGTATATTTAAACTTACTAAAGTAAAGATTTAGGCTAGTGTTAGTTATTATCTAATTAGGTAGGCTAAGAT